CATCCCTACATAGAGCGTCTACCGACGCTCTGATGATGACACGCAAAATCAGAAATCGCGTATGAGCGCATTCTCGTGTCGAGAATTGCAGGGACGTATGAAACTTTTGGGCATATGTATAGGTAGATATGGACCCGTGAGTGATTTGTGGTGTGTTTTGAAGGCATAGCTAGCCATTTTCGCCGAGTTTCGAGGCGTTTTGTATGCGGATCACGTGAGATTTCACACGTGTCATCCCTACATAGAGCGTCTACTGACGCTCTGATACATCAAAATGAATTGTTGTTTTGAGCAAATACAGTTTGAATGTAAAACTACTATCATCGTCATTAACAGATGAATAGACAGTACACTATTTATGTAGGTGCATGCAATATGCTGAGACAACTACACACTTATCTTGTGGGGTAAAACAGCACATCCGACTACACACCATAGTGTGTCAAGTAAACCCTCTATGTGGATGAGTAGAAAGTACACACTATTTAGGTAGGTGCATGCAACACATGTGTCCTATGCTGGGACAACTACACACTAATCTTGTGGGGTAAAACAGCACATCCGACTACACACCATAGTGTGTCAAGTAAACACAGTATTTGGGTAGGTTAAAGGAACATAATTAGAAGTATGTCATATGCTGGGACAACTACATACTTTATGTGTGTTAAAACAACCAGCTTGTGATGTGAAATTGTGTGTTGAAAACGCACAACGAAATTTACAGTTAGTTATCATGTATTCAATCATTTCCCTTTCCTACTTAGCACTGGCATGCAGTCACATCTCTTTCCTCATCTTTGTAAACCCTGTTTCCTACCCGCACCTAGTGTAGACATTTAGTATAAATAGCCACCAGTTTTGTACCATGGAGAGTCTTACATCGATATTATCGTTCTAATACACTACTTGGCCAAGATCCTTCTGCGGCACGCGCACTCGGTGGGCACTACAACAACGTTTAGTGCAGTAGGAGGGGGCTCCTTTAGGAGGGGCTCAATAGACAAGTTTAGAATAAAATACTCTAAAATAACTTTTTTTTCAAATGAGGTATAAAACCAATATGCACACTGTCACCAGCATTGTTACCCTCGGTGCGCATGCGCAGCGAGGGTACAGTAGTTTTGGGTCTGTCTGTCTGTCTGTTACTCTATATCTCACTCCTCGAACATCTGTTCGTCCCAGAAATGATACCATCCACCCAACGGGCGACGAAGGTCAGAAAATAAATGCGGTTTTCTATGAAAACGCTCCGTTGCTAAGCTAGAGCGTGAAAAAGCCAATATTATTTGTTAAGTTGAACCAAACAGTAAAATCAAAATTAACGGTTTTGAAAATATTCCCTTCAGTGTTTGTCCCAGCCAAATATTTGTAACATCATGTATATACATGATATTACAAATAATAAGATGTTACAAATATTTTGGCTGGGACAAACACTGAAGGAAATATTTTCAAAACAGTTACTTTTGATTTTACTATTTGGTTCAACTTACAAATCTGTGACATGTCCTGCCATTAACTCTATTAGCTATGCTTCATTCATTTTTTACTGAGATTTGTGGAAAAATCTTACGCATGACACCTTGGCCCAGACAGAATGTTCTCGCCGCGCATGCGCGTGTGCAATCGAGTATAGCTAGCTTTGCTAGCCGCCGCCGCGTATATACTCGCACGCACCCACGCCCAACTTAGCGACGAATGGAGAGCTAAATTTCGAGGGACGAGTAAAAGAAAGTTCGACTTCGTTTTGGTCTCGTAAGCACGCGTCTAGTTGCCTGGCGCTATTGCACCGGCAATAATGAGGTTTCTTTGCCTGCTCATCCTCTTCAGCAAACTACTGTTAAAAGGTAAAGTAATCTGAACATAAACCTAGTTCAGTATTATATATAGCATATATTATTCACAGGGATTATTTTGGCCAGCCTTCTCTGCATCCTGAATCAGTTTATGCTTGTCCAAATGAGACAGTCACTTTCACTTGTCATGGCAGCCATATAGTTGCTACTCAGTGGGAACTGGATCTGTACGCTGAGAAGGATGCTCTGCAGATAACTTTTACCTCCAGCCAACCTGTTGGATCCCAGGAGACGGTTTACATGGATGTGATTTTGCCAACCTCTCAGATGTCACTGCAAAGGACGATAATGGAAGTGCTGCAGATATGACCACTACGCTTACAATCACAGCTCATAGATTGCCTAATAAGACAAACATCACTTGCGTGACACCGATGGAGATAATGTTATAACCAAGTCATCGTCCATTTTCTACTTTGCTGGTCTGTTATGTTCTTGAAGCTTAAGCTCTTGTTAACTTTTCTTTTCAGATATACCTCGTTGGAATAATACTTTCCCTTCATACCAAGAGAAAGGGACATATTTCACAGCAGTACTAGAGCTAGGGAGATATGTTTGATGGAGGAGGAGTTCCAATTGATCACTACATTATTCAAGTGGACAACGGCACACAGTTGGAAACTCCAGGCCCCACTTACAGTTTTGACATCATGTACAATACTACACTGTCAGTGGACATCTCAGCCCACAACTGTGCAGGATACAGTGATTTCTTTGCACTTGAGATACAATATGATCAAGGTTTAGTGTAGATAGCTAGCTACCTGATTCTTTGCTCATTATTAAACTTTACAATTTGTTTCACAGATAATAATGAAGAGAAGATGACACCTATCCCTGATGGCCCTAATGGTGGCCTTCGCCATTCAATGTTGGAGCTAGCAGTCTTATTGAATTGGAGTCTTCCTCCTTATTGTAACAACGCTGGTGACATGCGTGTCTTTATACCTTATTCGAAAACACAGTTAGTTGATGGGAGTTATTGATTCTAAACTTGTCTGTATAATGTATATATAACAGGGTCATCTCACCATTTCTACAAGTATCAGGTAGCTGATAACCATAAAACCTCTGGCTTTTAATCAAATGAATAGATTCTGTAGATGGTGAACAGTTTGGCTAATACTAGGATTGACCTGCACAGCACTAATGGAACCCCAGCACCAACCCCAGCACCTGTGGATACTCCTATGTCCCGGTATGAGAGGTGTTTACTGTTTCTTAGAGGGAAGGTCTCGTAACTTCCCAGTTCCTGACTTGTTCTGTGCTGTGATCCCACAAGTTACAATTATCTACTACTAGCTTTTTCCACAAGGCTCAGTTTTTACTGGCCACCATCCAGTAAGCACACGTCATTTTCCGTGAGCTACTATTTGCGTGTTAGAACGACACTCTCACAGACAATAGGTCTCAAATCCAAATCATCATAAAAGGGGTAAGATCACATAATATCTGTTACGTTGCTGGGCAGACCTCTCAGTTTCTGGGCATGTGTGTGTGAATATTACCCTCATTTATAGACTGAACTGTAAAACTTGCAGTGACAAGAAGTCACCTGATCTTTCTTTAGAAAGGGTCTGGCTCCCCTCGATCTGCATCAGAACATGAACCCAGCTGTTCGAATCGCCTGATTGTTTCTATACATGGCACTGTTGTAATGTTCACACTTTTGTTCCTTGTTGCAGATTACTGCTACATAAAGTATTTAGAGCGAGACTGTACAGGTCAATACAGCACATGTAATGAACACAGGTCGATTGCAACTCCTCAGATAATGTGGAGATTATACGCACGCCTTTCAGTAGCTATATGTGAGCTTCAACAAACTAAGTCTAAGGTTTACCACAGGTTTTTCCTTAGTGTATTTCAAAAACATGCTTCACGTTAGGATCTTTTGTAGATAGCTAGTTATCTTGTTACAATATTAGAGGCCACAATTGTGGCTAGGTGTTTATTGGCACCATCATTTTGTGGTGAGTGTAAAGTAGGAAAGTTATGTGTGTTTCCTCATTCCGGTATTAGCTGCTTCTTCCTCTGCTGTGTTTGCACACATTTCTGCTGTCATGTTTTCAGTAGCACAGCCAAGTTTGGACTCAAACATTGACATCCACCCTCAGGTTTTTTCAACCTTCCCACATCGATACTTTCACTGTTTACTCTCAGACTATTCATTCCTCCCAAATTTGCATATTTGGTACACATTTCTACAAAACACTTTATTACTAAAATATTCTGTCCATTAGCTGGTTGGAAGAGAGAAAGTTACAGAGTAATTTTTAGGGACGATTTCCCTATTTCCATTAGCATTCATGTGATAGCTACCAGAGTCTAAGCAGTACACTCAGTGAAGGTTTTCAGACTGTGTATAATTATGTTTTCATAATAATTATTATGGTTATAAACCATTTTATACTCTCACTAGTCATCTGGAACATATGCTGAGATTGAGCTCTCACCACCAGCTCAGCTCTCCCACCACCACCAGTGACTGGAGAGACTGTCCAGTACTCCAGAGCCAGTGAGAAGCAGCCATGTCGTGAGACACCACAGGAACCTGTTCAAGGCGAGGTTGTTTCTAACAATGGACGATCACAGGGTCAAGGGGACCAGGAGCAAAACAATGCAAAACCCACTGATCTTCATCCCCTTGGTCAGCAACAAACAGTTTCTGTTTGAATGCAAACTCTATGTGAATACATAATTCAAGTGCTTGCAGTTCCTAATGCCCACAATTACACTAGGCAGATTATTATATCATGCACAAGAAGCTTTTACATAAATTTCAGTTTATTATTTTCAGATTTTTCATAATATTCATCTAAAATATCGCAGAAAACAAGTTACACATTTAAGTAAATGCAAAATTTATCAAAGTTTGATAGTCAACTTTAGAAGTCGGGTTCACCAATTGGTGACTGTGTAATACTATCCATACTACAGGGGTGACAAATTTGTGAAACGTAAAAAATGAAGCTGAAAAACTTGTTCCATAATGGTATATAGTATTGCAGTAAAAAGTGCCCATCAACTGAAAGGATTAGTTGTTTAGCATAAATCAGCTAAAAATTTCTCAATTTATATCAAAGTGCTCAGTAGCTATTTCAAACAAAGTCTGAAAATTCGAAAGCTACTTGAGACACTGCTATTATTGAGATTGACTGTTGAGCTTTATATTAGTAATAACAATGTACCTTTATTCACTATCAGACAAGGATATCAGTGTTCACTTAATCCTGACTCCAACTGAGGACTGTACAGTCGTTGTTGGTGTGCCCTGCGTGAGCTGCTGGAACTGGAGAGGGAGACTATGAAGCATGGTGGGTGTGACCTATAATCACAACAGAGAACCACTGTATGAGTTGGTAAGAGCCCTCACCTAGAATGCAGTGCCGTAGCTTCGAATCACACTATTCTAAGGTCACCACGATTACTGAAATTCTATGCGACCTTAATTAGGCAGGAAGCAGAGGAGTGGAAGTAGTTCCAGAAAGAGTTATCCTGCGTGTAGTTGATTGTCTGCTTTAACTTGCCTTTCTAATACGTCGTGATGCACATCATTACAGTGACGGAATGTAGCTAGCTGATTGTGAACATGGTATATAGCATAAGAAAACATTGTTTTGCAGATTATGTGGAGTTGGGTGATGACGTGCCAAATGGCAGAGTTGTGTTTCAGTGTGGTATGAGTAGAAAGGAGTGTGTGAGGTGGTCAGATGTGTCCTCTCTCTGTGAGCAGATTGGTTTCAACAAGCTATCCTGAAGCCATTAGCCACTGCTTACATCACCGGTGAGTTTATTGTAGCATGGTAAATGATTTCCACAAAACTGTTTTTCTTCTGAAATGGTGAGAATGATGTGTTTTCGCCGCAGCAAAGTTGTTTATCCAGGGGTGGCCTTGTTACGCTACACTCATCAATAATTATACATATACTCTTTCCTGCCTAGATTCTCAAGATGGGACTTTCACTTTTATGCTTATAGTCTACAGTTCATGTGTACTAACGAAATGTCAGCTGTTGTGTTTTTTAGGCCCACCTGAGCAGCATCACCAATTCCCCAAACTTTTCAGCAATAACTGTGGCTGGCCAAATCCTGTTTTTCGGTTATCACAAACTTCATGGGTGTTGGAAACGAACATAGCAGCATGAGCTTTGGACTCAGATAGATTAAATGCCCTTGTTACTCATATAAGACTAAGTTTTGAGTCACGAAAATTGTTGTTGGTTACCTAAGCATAGTATGCCATAAGAAAACAGGTTATGAACATGGGTTACGAGCTAAGAACAATGAACAACGAAAATGCTAACCAGCAGATTTGTGACTTCGAACTGACAGTAAATGACTAGTAGCTTTACAAAGTAGCCACTGACCATACAACCATAAAACTGGGCAGAGAATGCAGGAAGATTTACTAGTCAACTAACTGCCACCACCTTGTAGGTTCACATGCACATCTAAAACAGCGATGAATGTTGCACTTGCGCCTTCCTTGTCGTTTTAATGATATAACAGGCACTGTACATACAACGTGCAAACGTGTGACAATGTTGACGCTTCATCACTTCGCTTGCCAATAGTAATACATTTATTGCAAGGGGCTCTCCCAGTCAAATATGATCAGAGGTGGAGCTCCCAATCCCAGACACGACTACTGCCCCAGTTCTGCCCCCACGCAAGCCACATCGGGTGATAATGAAATGGGCTCCACCAATCCCTCCACCAGGTTTCTAATGTAGAGATAATGAGCCCCCTGCCATTTCCTCCCTTAGCCACAGACATGGAGTTGCTTATACAAGGAAGCTGCAGTTTCTTCTCTAGAGTGACCGAGATTGATTGTGATGAAGGACTCCCCCACCTCCACTTCCTCCTCCCTTAGCCCCTGAGGGATATTGATTATTGATGACGACGGTCATACGTTTACATACGAGTCGTTAGTTAGTCACACGTCAGAGATTTGTAAGACTCAGCATCTTGTTGTGTTGCTGCTATAATATGTTGTGTTTATGAGATATTCTCAGCTCCCTCTAATTAAGACAATATAAAGTTTACCAGCATGTGTACCACATCAATGGTTTGAACCATTATTAAACTGGTGTCTGTCTCAACTCAAACACACATAATTAGCTCACCTCTTCTACCAGTGGCACCTTGCATTTCACCAGAAGCAATCTGATAAACTTCCTCTGCAGGTCAACTAATGTACAGTGGATACTCACACACACACCAACACAGACTCTTTCATCCCTTCCTCCCTCCAGACTCTCATCATGAGTCCTTGCGTCCCTGACCTGAACCTGACGTTGAGCATCAATAGCGCCATACCACAATAGGCTAGTATGTGTGCTCTGCTCAGTGAGGTGTGTAAAGAAACCAATGTCAATTTACTGAAAATCTTTCTGCACATGCAAGCGTGCCGAGAGCATGCTCCCTGTGCATTAATCCTTTGGACGCCATGAGTAACCCTCGGCGCGCATGCGCAGCGAGCGTTACAGTGTCTGTCTGTCCGCTGTCCTCGCGAGTTCTAGCACTACAGGCTACGAGGCGGCCAATGAGTGGCACCAACGGGTTTTGAACGACGAGAAGATTGATATTAATGTGGCGATTTTCCTGAAACGACTGCGTCCAGAGATATTAGCGGCGTGGAAAACAAGGCGAAAAGCTACTTGAGCGATCCATTGCGCACGCGCGTATGTGGGTGTATACCGTTTGCCGGAGCATCAGACGCGAGTGATCCATCGCGCACGCGCGTATGTTGCCGTGGCTATCGCATGCGCATATACGAGATGCCACGTGGTTATTTTAGTTGTGCAAGCGGTTCTTGAGTTTCTCTCCTCTGTCAGTGTTGATCTCTGTTCTCGATGGAAAACAAACTGAGCGAAGTATGTCGCACAGCAGTTCACGTTAGACGAGCAGTTTGTGGATGCGGCCATGCCTTCCCATCTAAGCGTTAAGCCCAGTCTGACAATATATCCCAGCAACGAAGCCACAGTAGATGCCAAAAAAGCGAATGTGAGAGCCTTTGAGTGTGGTATACATAGTCACTATGGAGTAGTGCTATGTTTTTATGTACATCACTTCACCAATTTTATCGGTATTAACATCCTTCCTATATCTACAGGCATCATACATGACAGGATTAAAGAAGAACTCTCATTTCTACGTTGAAGGGTCCCTCTGAGCTATATATTATCAAAGCACAGACACTCTCCATCCCGTCATGTTCAATGCACAATAATGCTCCTCTCATAGCTGAACTGTGTTACTGCATACTTACAACAACATGTCATTTGGTTACTCTGATAAGCACTAATGAACTACATATAGCAGATACCCTTCATCCAATTTGTTCATCTTATATTCAATTTTGGAGTTACAGTGGAACCTCATTAATACGAACACTGTTAAGCGAAATAACTGTTTGATACGAACCACTTTCGAAATAGCCCACCTAGCTTACAAAACCACAAAACGTACGCATTTTGAGCCGAGGGTTTGCACTTTAGTGCTTTTCATTAGCTACAGGAGAAACAAAACATGTAAAATCAGTTTTCCTAAGCCCCCCAGTTCCAAAACCCTTATTACAAAAGATGATATTGAACGTGGTGACAATAACCAAGAATTCGCTGTGTTGGGTAAAGTACAAAAGTTGATAGCTGACGGTAATGCGCAGATTTGAGCCATGCTGAGTTACTTGACAAGCAGAGAGTTACTGAGAAGATTACATAGATGCATAGAAGTGTCTACTAATGGAATGTTGTGGTACTCAAGCATGAGCCTGGTGAATGTTTCATTAACAACTACAATCCTTCAGTAATGCTAGCATGGCAAGCTAACATGGACATTCAGTTTGTACTAAACGCATATGCCTGTATCATGTATGTAGCATCATATACCATGAAAACGGAAAGATCTATGGGTGAGCTCTTGAAACGTGCTTCTGCTGAAGCTAGGACTGATGAATTGAAATCTCAGTTGAGAAAAGTAGGCTCAGTATCCTACACACAGAGAAGTTAGTGCACAAGAAGCTGTGTGTAGAATACTGTCACTGCCAATGAAGCAACTTAGTCAGATCTTTGTTTGTTACTACTACCCAAAAATGAAAGAATTGCTGTATCGAAAGGCAACGCATCTCTTAATCAACTAGAGACAGTGATACAAATGTGTCCAAAGACCCCATTGATCGATACCAGCACAGACCACAGCAGCTTAGTTCCATGTGTCTAGCTGAGTTGCTGCCACATAATTTTGTTGTGAGGTATGAGCGTAATGATTACCAGCTTGAGAGTGATGTCACAGCCACACAAATCACACTGGGTGTTAAACTGAACAAGCGCGAAAGCAACAAGCTTGAGATTAGATTCAGGAAGTATAATGAAGAGGGGCTGACCGTATCAATGTATAGCGCTAAACTACTGGTATGGTGTACATATATCCCTAGCATACAGTGGTTTGCGCTTCTTCGCCATGGACAGACTGAACACACTACGAACCAAACGGTCACGTTGATGTTGTGATATTGACAAAGTAGCATGGTTGGTTGTGCAAATGTGCTAGAAATCCACAAAATGACTGCAGCAGATAAGTGGTCGTATCAGACGATAAAACGCTTGCGTGTGAGTGGTGTGAGTATCTAGCTGTGGGAGCCTGTATCAGTTAGCTACCACAGTTGGCTCACTGTTTAGCCTGTGAGTGACTGTTATGCCAGTTGTATGGCTCAGGCTCATCTCTGTGTTGACCATTTCATGATGCTAGAACTAACTGATGGTAATGAGCCAATGAGGTGACCTGCATCCTCAGAGCTATTGTACAGAGTTAGAACCAACAGTTGCACATCTGATGATGTTAGAACCCTAAAATCACATGAAATAGCAGCAGATACAGTTGCTTACCCAGGCCATGCTTTACTTGTCGACACAAGAAGCACCCATATTAATATGTTGAACAAATTGGCTCCACAGAGTGCACAGTTAACAATGAAAGCCATTGATTCTGTAGCTTGTCAGACCGGTCATATCTCTCTCTCTCTCTCTCCTCTCTGTCGGACAAAAGATCTGAAACGGGCGGTCTTCACGATACACTCAAACTAGCTATTGGTGCTCGTGTGATGCTAACAGCAAATGTTGATGTATTAGATGGTCTTGTGAATGGTGCTTGAGGTGAAGTAGTACTGTATGAGGTCACTAGTGTCCTTGTAAAGTTTGACAATAATAGAGTTGGCATTAAATCAATTCAAAAATAGCCTACATTGGTCTAGATTTCC